AAACCTGGTAAGGGACTCTACATAGCAGATGCTCTAAGTCGTGCATATTTACACGAACAGAAGGAAAATCTGCTGGAAGAGGATCTAGCAGTGAACTGGATTACGTCACAACTTCCTATTTCAGAAGAAAAACTGGATGCTTTGAGAAAAGCAACAGCAGAGGATGCAGAGATGCAAATGTTATAAAAGGCAGTGCTGAATGGATGGGCGAAAGAACGATCTATGATGCCAAGATCAATACAGGAATACTGGACATATCGAGAGGAAATCAGTTATGAAGATGGTCTGTTATTGAAAGCAAATAAGCTCATTGTTCCAAATCAGCTGAGACAAGAAATGATCAACAAAATACACGAGTCACACCTGGGCATTGTCAAATGTAAGGCAAGAGGCAGAGACATTTTGTACTGGCCCGGTATGTCGATTGTTATGTTGTATATGCATTGTTGGTTGGGTAATGGGTTGAAATGCAATTGTTTATAAGTATAAATGCATTTGTGAAAATGTGTTGAATAATTTTGCAGTTATGCTGAAAGTTTGTTAAATGAAACTCAAATGTTGTGTTTAAAAGATTGTGCAGTAGTTCTATGCATCAGTATAAAGGAATATACTTAAGAAGGGGGATGTAACATATTAGATATGTTATACATATATGAGGTCATGAGGACATCTAGTGGTCATCTGATATAATGACATCCAGAGTCACGTGTGTATGTTTTGTTACTGGAGTATAATAAAGTTGGTTTATGATGTTCGTCTGTCGGTCTAAAGAACAGAACACTATTAGCTAACATGATTAGCGCATCTCACCTCGTCATAATGTACATATAGTTGACATCTGACAATCAACAAATAAAATATTAGAATGAAAGATATGATTCATGGTTACTCACACAGCGCAGCTGAAGTGTTTTCAACATCCATTGGTGCATGCCGCCACTGTGATGAAGTGTGAAGAGAACTGGTGTTCTCACGTAATCCCTATATCCTATTTTTTAATCCACTAATACTAATAAACTCACTATTGCATGTATTTGTTTCCTGCATTTGAGCCATTTACTAAATACAATTACTGGATTTATAGTATATTTATTGTTATCTTACATTATTAATATAATGAAACCATCATATTTTAAATAAATTATATTGACCAGCTGAATCTAACATTTAATTTCAACAAATGTAAAAGTTAACTGAAAAAAATTATGTGCAATTAAATGTATAAAACTGAAATATACTTTTCATTTTGCAGCAGCAGGACCAGAGAAAAGGTGTGCAGCAGAATGATGACGATGATGAAACACTCCTACTTTTGAAGACGAATAAAGACTTTTTGAATCATTAGAAATTTTCATTGGTTTTCAGGTTTTTTTCCTTAAAGTAAGATCAAATTAATTAAAATTAATGTATATGCCAAATTTTCACTTCTCAATAACTTTGTTGTTAACTTTTAATATATATATATGTTAAAAATGATATGTTAATTTTTTATTAGCTTAATGTGGAAAATGTCATTAACTGCTGATTAATAAATTATATAAATGTTTTCTAGTTGATTGATTCTTGAGGCACACGTGTGTGACACATTGATGCATGCGGTGCATATAGGCCACACACAATCGTACAGGTAACACACTTGCTGATTTTTTTTTTTTTTTACGTGATTTTGGTCGTTGCTACAACTAACACGGTCCTTTGATGTTACGTCCTCACAACATACCAGTTTGGTCATTGAGACGTACTCATCACGCTCTTGCCACGTACACTATAACGTCGCCACGACGATTATGGGAATCACAAAGTTACGTCGCTGGAACGTTATGTGGTTCGTCGCTACGACGAATATGGTCTGGTCCGGTTACGTCTTCACAACGTAACTGTGTTAGCTGGGGATGTCAGCCATTTACAATATCCAGCATCTTAGATAATAGTCCAGAAACAGGGAATATAGCAGATGCACTATTGAAATGTCTATTTAAGAGGTTTTAAACAGGATTTAGAGATATATGCAGTAGGCGTCGGTGTGACACTGTTCAGCTGTTCCAAACCCTTCTGTAAAACACACGAAGAAGAGCAAAACGAAAGGAACACCTGTCCACACCTAAACCTGTCACTCACTGGATTTGTTTTTATCTATGATTCAGGAAACATGTCTACAGATGTCAATTTAGCACAATGCCTACCAAATCTAATAACACTCGCGGCCATTTATGTGTTTAATCCACAATCCATCGAGACCAGCGAGAGATTCTGAGAACGACGCGCGCGGACTGACAACAAGCGTTACTGAGATTACAATACTGATAAATTCTCTTCTTAGTGGACAAGACTGCAAGTAAGTTTAAGACATTCTCCATTACAGTCATTTGTAGTTATTAGGAACTTCATATTGTTAAGCGAGATTTAAATGTGAAGTTACAGAAGGCTGTTCTTCTGCTACTCCGAACAGAAGAAGAATCTGCCAGAAATTACAATCTTTTGAAGTAAAAACACAAAAAAATGTATTGATAAAGGATTATTCAACACGAATATGTTTCTAAAAAGTTTTCTCCCATTTCCTCTTCCGTGTTAGGTTTTTGTGATGTGAAATCGAAAGTATTTTTGAAGCAGACATTTACAGTAGACAGACAGATGAAGCCTAACGTCAATCAACAACAATCTGATGTTATTAAACTGAATATTTCAGTTCAGCAATTGTGATTAGTAGTTATACAGTATGTCTATTATAATTCTGGTTACTTTTACTCAATCAATTATTGTGAACTTGAAGTAATGATTGAATGGCTAACGATTCAACAATTAATAAAGATTGGGTAAATATGATTGTAAAATGATATTATACTGTAATAGAGAATATAACAAATTGGGTTCAGTTTTCCCAGCACAGTGTAAATTTCTGTTCCCCAATGAATTCATATTTAGAGTCAGTTAAACTCATTAAACAATCAGGAATGATTAAGACCATTCGGTTATTTTACATGGCAATATATTTGTTTGTAACTCACTTTATTTGATAGATGGTTTTTGCTGTTGCTGTTGTTGATGATAACTCTTTATTCTTCATGATTGTCTTCAATAAGATGTTGTTGATGTGTGTAAATGTTGTGATTTGCAGGTGATGCTGAAGGATTGAGTGTTTTCAGAAAGCAGTGCTGATCAGTTTTCAGGGTCAGTTTAGCTGCAGTATGTCAGAGGAAAGAGGAAAGGACTCTCTCTCTCAGATGAGTCTCTCAGAGAAACACAGGTGAGACTGCGTCTGTTTCACACTCTCAGTTTAAACTCCACTGGACTTTGTGTTTCCCTGTCAATAACACAACTTTAAGCATTGTTTTATATTTGCAAATGATTTGCACAACTTCAATTTTAACTTCTTAAATTAACACTGACATTGTCTATAAAGCCCTGTTTGCTCTATAGAAAATATCACAGTTAATAATTTGTTAATAACCTTCTAGACGCTGAATTAATCCAAATAAATTACTTTAGATTTTAGATCATAAAATTATTGACAGACATTAGAAAACAACTATACACTTAATTTAATTCAACAAAACTGTGTTGCACAGACATTTCTGTTCTCTATTTCTGTCAATAAATAAAAACTTGACATGTTCTCTTAAATTATGATCAAGTATCTTGTAAATTCTCAACATATTTAATTTCTCTCATGTATATTAAAGACATTGTTAAACTAATGTGAGCCAGTAAATAAAATGATGGTTAACTATAAAACTGTAAATTATGTGAGTGTGTGTTTCTGTGGAGGATTAGATAAAGACACAGATGTGTTTCAGACACAGTTGATCCTCCTTTACTAAAGTGTTTTCTCTCTCTCTCTGTTCTTTGTGTCACCAGTGTAAGATCAGGCTCACATGTGTCCAGCTCTGTGTCTCTGAAGAGTGATCAGTCTAAAGATGAAGGACCAAAGTTCAGTGAGAAAACACCCTCATCTTATAAAAGGTATTTTGTGTGTTTACATTACATTATAGGGTTTTATTATTTGTCCACAGTAGTTTATGTGATTGAACATGACTGAATAAAACAATAAATCACAATAAAACTCAATTCCTGGGAACCTTATGAAACTCATTCCAGTAACACAGCAGCCAGCTCTGTGTCTCTGAAGAGTGATCGGTCTAAAGATGATCCACCAAAGTTCAGTGAGAAAACACCATCATCTAATAAAAGGTATTTTGTGTTACTAATTTTTTGTCACACGTTTACTGTGTTTAAAAGTTGTATCAGTGAATACCAATCATGAAACATGTTTAGATCAAATATTTGTCAGAGTATTTACAGCTAATGCTTATTTCTCTTTCTGTAACATATCAGTTAGTATTTTATTTTACTAATGTGATTACAGGCTTCAATATGAGACATTAGACTCAGACCTTCAGACTCACAGGAACCACGAGAATTTCAAAGACAATCTTCTTGGGATCTTCCAGGTAGGAAAACACATTTTTATAAATGTTTAATATTTCTAAAAAACAAATATGTTATTGAACAAAGCAATTTAATTACATTTTTCTTCATCTCCTTTTTTTCCTTTTAAACACATTTTAGCCAAACTTGGTCAGCATGTTAGTGTTTTAGCTGGATTTCTTTATGTATTATAATTATTGAATAAATAGTGTTGACCAAATGTAGATGTACAATTTGGCTTAAATTGTGTTATTCTGTCTTTTCTCTTACTTTTGTGTGTAGGATCTTGAGAGCAAAATAATCACATTTCTGAAGAATGAGCTGGAGAAGTTAAAGAAAATATTACAACATGAGAACACACAACACTTTGTGAAGGACTTTAATGAGAACAGATCCAGTATCAAATCAGCAGCTCTTGATCTCACACTACATTACCTGAGAGAGATGAAGCAAGATGAAGCTGCTGATGCTCTAGAAGGCAAGAGACTCGTGATCATCTGTCTGATTGTCTCTTATAAATGTAGGAGAGAAAATGAAGACTAAAACTATCTATTTTCTGTTCCTGTGTTTAGATGAGCTGGTCTTCATTCATCAGCTGAAATGTGGCCTAAAGAAGAAGTATCAATGTGTGTTTGAAGGAATGGCGAAGCAAGGTGACTCCACACTCCTGAATAACATCTACACAGATCTCTACATCACTCAGGGTGGCAGTGAACAGGTCAATACTGAACATGAGGTGAGACAGATTGAAGTTGCTTCCAGACGTCATGAAGCACAAGAGATACAGGTTGAATGCACACATTTGTTTGAAGCGCCTGAACAAGACGAGGAGATCCGAACTGTACTGACAAAAGGAGTCGCTGGCATCGGGAAATCAGTCTCTGTGCAAAAGTTTGTTCTGGACTGGGCTGAAGGAAAAGAAAATCAAGATATCAGCTTCATATTTCCTCTTCCATTCAGAGAGATGAACTTAAAGGAGAAAGAAAAACTAAGTTTGATGGACCTTATAACTCAATTTTTCCCAGAGACAAAAGGACTGAACCTTACAAGGAATCAGTTCAAAGTGCTGTTCATCCTTGATGGACTGGACGAATGTCGCCTTCCTCTGAAGTTTGATTGTAATGAGACGTGGCGTGATGTATCGTCACCAGCCTCTCTGGATGTTCTCCTAACGAACCTCATGAAGGGAAATCTGCTTCCTTCTGCTCTCGTCTGGATCACCAGCAGACCAGCAGCTGCCAGTAAGATTCCTCCTGACTGTATCGACCGGCTGACAGAGATACGAGGATTCAGCGACGCACAAAAGCAAGAGTACTTCAGAAAAAGATTCACGGATGATATTCAAGCCAACACAATCATAGATCATGTTAAACAATCAAAGAGTCTCTTTATCATGTGCCACATCCCAGTCTTCTGCTGGATTTCAGCCACTGTTCTCCAGAACATTCTGGAGGAGAAGAGAAATAATGATGTGAAAAACACTCAGGCTGATGAGATCTCTAAAACACTGCAGGAATCAAACACTGAAGACACTCCCAAGACTCTGACACAAATGTACACACACTTTCTCCGCTTTCAGATCCAGCAGAGCCGCCGGAAATATGATGGAGAATACACACCAGATGTTTCCTGGGATAAAGATGCCATCCTTTCACTGGGGAAACTGGCATTTCATCAGCTGGAAAGAAACAACCTGATCTTCTATGACACAGACCTGGAAGCCTGTGGTCTTGACGTCTATAAGGCATCAGTGTACTCAGGCATGTGTACCCAGATCTTTAAGGAGGAAACAGGGATCGTTCTTGGTACCATGTACTGCTTTGTTCACTTGAGCATTCAAGAGTTTATTGCAGCCCTTTATGCACATCTGTTTCTAGACATCAACAAGACAAGTGTGTTTGATCATGAGTCTACAGAACAGGAAAACAGAAATGAAACCATGATTGATTTTCTCAAGACTGCAGTGGACAAGGCGCTGGAGAGTGACAATGGACACCTGGACCTTTTCCTTCGCTTCCTCCTCGGTCTGTCACTCCAGTCCAATCGACGACTCCTACGAGGTCTGTTGACACAGCGAGACGGCACTGACCAGAGCAACAAGGAGATAGTTCGACGACTCTTACGAGGTCGGTTGACACAGCGAGACGGCACTGACCAGAGCAACAAGGAGATAGTTCAGTACATCAAGCAGAAATTAGAAGCTAATCTTCCTGCAGAGAGATCCATCAATCTGTTCTACTGTCTGAATGAACTGAACGACCAAAATCTGGTGAACGAGATTCAGACCCACCTTAGCAAAGGAAGTCTCTCATCTGGTGACCTTTCACCTGCCCAGTGGTCTGCTTTAGCCTTTGTGTTGTTGACATCAGAGGAAGAGCTGGAGGAGTTTGAGCTTCAGAAATTCAAGAAATCAGACGAGTGTCTCATTAGATTATCGGCAGTCATCAAAACCTCCAAAACAGCCCTGTAAGTCTTTTAATATATTTTGTCATGTTTAGCTCTCATCTGAAAAATGCATTTATCTACATTACTCTATAGTGATTCCCCATCATAAACATGAAGCTATACCTGTAAAGCCTTTGTGTGTGTGTGTGTGTGTGTGTGTGTGTGTGTGTGTGTGTGTGTGTGTGTAGACAGTTTATCACAACTTAAGACAAAATATAAAATACCAAGTAAAAATGTTTGCATGATTGTTTTGTATCATATGATACACCAGACTTGTATGACTTGTATGACTATGATTTATATATATATATATATTATCACATACTCATACTTTAGGAAGAAAAAAAGGATATATTTTATTAATATACCCAAACTGGGGGGGGGGAAATGTAATTTGATACAGATGTTATTAATATTGCCAACAAGTAAGATGAAATTCTGAAAGGTTATAGTATAAAACATTGAGATTTTTATAAAACAGGCTACTTAAATAAAGTACATATATATTACCACGTCATATATTAGTTGTCCCTCTGTTTCTCCCAGTAATTAGATATTTAAAATGCTTATTTCTATGAGTAATTCTGTAGTTTAATGTAATTATAATGTAATGCAATATGTAGATCGAGAGATTTACAAATAAACATTTATCAAAAGCCTGTTGTATCATATTTAATGTACACATCAGATGGTTTTTCTACAAATTTTTTTTACATTTTTTTATCATTCAAAATATCTTTTTTTCATATCTTTTTTTAAATATATATTTTTTCTAATTTAGTAATTAAGTAAAATAACTATAAATTTAATTTCAGCAATTGTCATGGATGCTTCTTTACTATCTTTAAATTAATGATATATCACCCATTGGCCACCCTGCTCTCAATATATTGGCATCAGCCATCGGTTGACCTTAATCTTGAAATATTAAAAACAAATACAATTTCTTAGGTTCTTAGGTTTAAGTAATCGTAGCTTTATTTCAATCATTAAATATGTTATGTCAAAAAGACAAGTACATGTGAATGGAGGCAGTTTTAGTATTATAGTGAAAGGCCTTTAACTTGCCATAAAGTGTGAACTGTCTCATATAATGGTGTCGGTGCAGTCAAGTCAATAATATTGTTGAATATTAAGTGTCCCCAATTAAGCAAGACAGAGGAAACAGTGGCAATAACCTTAACTCCATCAGGTGACATAAATAGAAAAAAAATCATATAGCTATAAAAGCTTTACACAAATATTTTTTCAAACATGCTTCATTTTATCTAGGAAATTTGTCACTGAATAACAAAAAACACTAATGTACAGTAAATAGTACCTTTTGAAGATAAATGTTAGTTTAACTCAGCCTCTTTGCTGTATATGATGTTTATGTAAAAAATAAATGGAAAATGTATTTAATATTTGTATATAGAAAATGTATTGTATGTGTTCCATCTAATTCTGTGTTGTGACTTTATTGTAGGTTAAATGATTGTAACTTAACAGACAAAAGCTGTTCAGCTCTGGCTGCAGTTCTTGGATCCGATACCAATCTGAAAGAGCTGAACATGAACAATAATAATCTGCAGGATTCAGGAGTGAAGCTGATCTGCACTGGACTGAAGAATATGAAGTGTAAATTGGAGATACTGAGGTAAGTTGAGACACAGGAGTCACATGACTAGAGTGAGGTGTGATGACTGACAGGACGATGCCGGAGGCAAAAGCGCCAGAGAACTTTTGTGAAAAATTCAAAGATCTTTTATTTATTTGTTACAACGTGGGTATACCATATCAATCCTGTCATTGTGCTATTTTATTGTTGTTGTGTTTTTTCATCTAGAAATATTGAAGTGACATTAAGCATTCATTTTGTTCCAAGAAAAGGAAAGATCTAACTTTACATATCAGAATAAGAGCTACAGATCCTGAGGGTCATTGGCAAATATCTTTTCTTGTAAAATAAGTGCTCCACATGGCTCTGGGGGTTTAATAAAGGCCGGAAGCTAGTTATTTTAGTCGAGAAAATTTTAAAGGTGGGGAATGTGATTTTCTTTTTTGACCATTTTTTCAAAATCACTTGACATCCTATTCCTAACCCACTTACATTCACTGAGTTAGAAGCACTGAAATGAAAATTAAGCAATTTAATCATCTGTGGAACCGGCAGGACTCGAAAAACTCCAGCCAATCATTTCCAAGACCACCTAGAATCATTGGACAGTAAGTGCATCAATCAAACGGTTGTCCCATACCCCCCTCCCCCATCCCCCTCGCGCGCATACTCAAAGCTCGTCACCCAGTCACATGCCAGTCGCCCCGGTACAGAGAGAGAGAGAGAGAGAGTAAGTGCAATCTCGCGCATCTGAGTTTTGCAGATGCATGATTGCGCGTCCATGTTCTTCGAATGGGTGGAGTCAGGGCCAGCGTTGGAGGAAAGAAGGTAGGACCTTTTGAGTTGTGTATTTTCAAAATCTGCCGGCCGTTTTGTAAATCACATACCCCACCTTTAAATAAGGATATTTTTCTTACACGAACACATCGCTTCACTTCAGAAGGCTTTTATTAACCCCCCAGAGCCGTGTGCAGCACTTTTATCATGGATGGATGCACTTTGATGGAAAAATACTGTACATGTTTGGTATCATTTGAAATGTCTCAAATGGTACAAAGGTCTCATTCCCACAGAAGTAAACCAAAAAGGTAATAAGGTGTGGAGAGAGTTTAGAGATATCTTGTTAACTGCTGTGTGTGTGCCCCCATGTAAATCAACGTCTGTCCCCAGTAAGTCTGGGACGGTGATTAATGCAAATTCCCACTGTGAACTCATGTTTACATTTGAAAAGAGGTTTCTGCCTTGGTCTGAGTATTCAGGGAGATGCTGAAGAAGGCTTGTGGCGATTTGTAACTCAAATTAGCCCATGATGCAGAGTGTATGCAGGCACTCGGCATCATGTATTTTTTATATGTATATTAAGTGTCCCCAATTAAGAAAGACTGAGGCGTGGCTCAGTGAGGCTCGCGTGGGTGTGGTCACATTAGAGTTAATTAGGACGCGTTTGAAAAACTGTACATGTCGCTGCTTTCATATGGATAACTTAAACATAGAATATTTGTTTTTTATATAATTTACATCATTTAAAAATAGAGACTCCAAGCGTTGTAAAGACATACGATTCAAGTCTGTGTGACAAACATTCGCCGAGTTACAGATCATCTTCTGTCGCGTTTCAGAAAGAACTTCACATTGAGAGAGACGGCAGAATGCGCATCATGTTAATTTTCTTTATTTTACGAAAAACACAACGTTTTGTTTTTATTATGAGTGTACACAAATAAAAGACATTTAACAGTTTTGAATGATGTATAACACTTATATGTAAGATCAAAATCAACAGAGTATTTTGAGTCTATTTTGCACTGATAAGAAAAAAAGCGAGCTGGTATCGCGACCGCCGACCCCAGAGGGTTAACCGACCAAAACACGATTAGAGTGATTGACAGTTTGCTTAGATTACGTAAGCAGATTTGTCAAACACAAGTGCGTGCCCTCGTGCGCTTTCGTCATTTTACGCACAGCGCGCACAGATTCGTCATTGCTTTGCAACACGGAGCATGTTTCAATGCACGGATTTTCTCCAACGTCATATTTGATCATCTACATCATGGATCGTCGACTAAAGAAGAGTTTGTGTGGTGTTGAGAGTGTTTTGGAGGAGGTGATGAGGAGCAGCGATGAAGAGCAGCAGAAAGACGCTGAGAGATGCATCAGTGCACGGTGTCGAGCGTCGATTCGGCAGATGAGGAGATGTACTCGCACATGCATACACAGTGTTGCAATTTTATTTGTTCTGCTTACACACTTTATCTTTCCTGTCTTTCAGTGGCTTTGGTTTCCAGTTGGTTAGAGAACAAACCTTGGTAGTGACTGCCTTGATCAACATGTCTTCCTAGACTGTAAATACTGTAATTGCTTTTTTTTAGTAATTGTATATTCATTATAATTGATCAGTTTATTGTAATTTATTTGAGTAAAAACCACTGTTGCAATTACAAATGTTATTTTATTATTTTTATATAATTTATCAATTAGTTGTAAAACAATCATTTTTGTAATGTGAGTATTTTGGTTTCACTTTTTTTGCTATTAGAATTATTCAAAATAAAGTATTTTTTGTTAAAGTTAAAATGTTGTGCTGAAATCGTTTTTTCTTGTGTGGTTTTATGGGCAGAACAGTTCTGAATTGATATACATGTATGTAGTATGTAGTGTTTACTCCTTATGGCATTTGGTTACCAGGTGGAGTCTCCAAATGGCCTTTTGGAAAGGACGCCTAGACTTTTCTTGAATAAAAGCTTACAGAAACTACATTTTTGGGAGTATCATCTTCAAATTTGATGTGTTTCAGGCCTTTAACATAAAAGTCTGATAAATTTTTTCTTAAATGAAGTTCATTCAAAGAAATCGTGAGTCACTTTCATGTAAATTTTACCTTGATTTACTCTGTTCATATGCTACTTTGAGTTATTATGACTCTTGGGTAACACAGTTTCAAGTGATGCTTGAAACTTTCAAGTTTCAAGTACATCATTCAAAACTGTTAAATGTCTTTTATTTGTGTACATTCATAATAAAAACAAAATGTTGTGTTTTTCGTAAAATAAAGAAAATTAACATGATGCGCGTTCTGCCGTCTCTCTCAATGTGAAGTTCATTCTGAAACGCGACAGAAGATGATCTGTAACTCGGCGAAATTTCTAGTTTAAATAAATATCAGAGTTATGAATGTGGACCATATGGTTTAAGATCTACAGACATTTGTATTTGGGTATGTCGTTTTCAGAAAATTCTCAAAAATAGGGGCGCTGGTTAACTGATTTGACGTTGACTTGACTGACAGGACAGCTGTTTCGGTGGTTGCCTAGCAACATAAAAAACGCAGCGCACTGCTGTTCTGTGTGAACTGGTTCTGCTTTGCACCTCGCGTTTTCAAACCTGAAATACGCGTTTGGTGTGATCGAGCCTAAAACTTCTATCGTAAAACATAAATAAAGATGAAGATCTCTCTTCCTCTGTCT